AAGTCATTACAAAAATCTTACGAAAGAAGCATGACAATTTAGACATAATCCATATTATACGATCTATTTGACCTGTGTTAAAGTGGCAATACATACCCCTTATGCTTATTGGGGGGGCGGGCGGGTATGTATGAGTACTCTTCTCGACCTCATCCATCCCGACATCCTCCATACTCGACCCATTTTTGTCTAAATTATATATAATGCTTAGCTAGGGATGGCAAAAATATGCACATGCATATGTATTTTGTTAGAAATAATCATTATTTTTATCTAACATAATTTATATTTAACATATAAATAGAATATTTTCATGAAATTGTGTTGTTTTAATTAATTTCCGTCATTCTACTGAATTATTGACGTACTTTTCCTCTTACGTAATGTGAGAATACGTGTGAATGTTAACATATTGGTTGGAGTTATGAAGAGAAATTATTACCCATGGATAATCGTGGATACCCAAAACCCGAACGGGTATGGGCATGGTTTTTATTTTCTACCCGTTTCACATGTGGGTATGGATATGAGTAAAACCCGAACTACTTTGGGTAGGGTAACGGATATGCACTATCCACCCCTGAGCCGACCCATTGCCATCCCTACCTTATTTATTGATTTTTAATAACAAATAAATATTTATAATATATTTATTTAAATTACATATTCATATGGATAGCCGTATCTCGATACGAACGAATATGGATATCCCAATTGCCATTCCTAATGCGGCAGGGATTGATGAAAAGATAAGCCACTAAAGTTAAATAGTTGAGATGGAATAGAAAATATTAATGCCGAAATTTATCAAGCAACTATTTATTTGTACCTCAAAGTTATTTGTCTATTAATTTAAACCATCAATTGACAATTAGTAGCGAAACGAAACTACCCAAATAGGTGAAAAGGACTAAATAGTCCTTCCGTGATGTGCGCTGAAGGCAGGAAAAATTGAAGTGGGGAGTTCTTAAGGAGAACCTCCATATATGATTTGTAAGAGGATTTAGATGAATTTAGAGTGGATCTTATTATATAAATACAAATTAATGATTAACAATAAGTTAAATCAATTCAAATTATCAACTCATCCAAAATCAATACAATATATTGTACACTTTTCAAATTAGAGTTCACCATTTCAAATTGTCTCAATTGTTATGCATCCAAAATCAATACAATATCTTATATTCTCAAAGTAGGCTTCACCATTTCAAGTTGTCTCAAATCATATAATATATTATACACTTTTCTCAAATTAGCTTTCACCATTTGAAATGGTTTCACTGACCATCCATGTCAGCCTTGATTTTTCAAGTCACTTTTATTATGTCAATTTTCAAACTCAACCGTGTTTAAAAATAAACCAATATATAAATAAGATTTATTAGGAAAACACACAATATGTAAGGTTCATATTTATTATAGTGCAAAGTTTCTAACAAGTTATAGACAACTATATTTTGATGATATTGATTGCAAAACTAATAAGATAAACTCCATCATTTTCTTAATTATTACAAGCTTTGATCTCGGCCATTGCCCAAGTGAGTTTCATTTAAACATTAAATTAATTTTGAAACTTTTTATTCATATTCTTGAAACTCTCGTTAATGTCGTGCGTACACTACATTTATATCAACTAATTTGTTGTCATGCTTGAATCATTTTTCATATATTATCAAAAATTTGCTATTTTTTGTATATGACCCGAATGTATGGTTTGAAAATTTGACTCGTAAATATACATAGCTAATTTGGTCCCTTCAGGGACACCCACGATATTGATACGATATAAGTTAATTTATAAGTAAAAACATACAACTCTTAATTGAGATATATTAACTTTTGGCTAAATGTATAACATGATCATGTTATAACATTTCAATTTTTTTATCATCAAACGCATAATAGTTCATTTATCCAATCTTGAATCGGGTGGAGATAAAGTTTTTAAAACCATTTTATTTTCAAATGGTGGTTCATGAAATCTCGGTACATGAAACACTAAAAAACTATCTAAACAATACATGTCATTCCATAATTATCGAAATTTCAAAAAATGTGCAGTTAATGTTTAAAATATTTGGACCGAACCTCACCCAACATAACCAAATGATTATGCTATGCAATATACACTACAACTTGCCCGTGCATATGAAATATAACTTTTTTTATTTTTTATTATAAACACGGTGGCAAACTTATATATAGTTTAAATATATAATATATGGTAGTAATATTTTTAGATGGTAAGGAATATAATTATATTTAAAAGATATAAATATATTTTATTTAAGGATAAAACATGTAAAGGAAAAAACGTAAAAGTACACTTAAATTGTGAAAGGAAAAAAAAAACCGAAAATGTAGGAAGCATTCACCGAGGGATAGATTTTTTTGTTGGTTGAATTTTTTTCTTGAAATAATTTGATTGGGTAAGGGCTGTGCTGACGTGGATGCGTCATGGAAGGAGAAATTTGAATATGTGAAATCTTTTTTGGGAAACCCTTTATTATATTTTTTAGATTTAGATAAACAGATTTTTTTTTATAGAAATCTGCATTTCATTAATTAACCAATCAAAGTTTCATCCTCCCTAAGGAGGGGTACAATAAAATGAGGTGGGTTATCCACCCAAACCTCTTCACCATCCCAAGTGCAATCAACATGGGCCAGAACATGGGCCAATTTGTTACCATTGCGGCCCACAAAGCTCCAAGAGACTCCTCCCATTTGCTGGGCCTTGGCCCGGATCTCAGCACATATCAGCCCCACTTCTGTTTCTCTCTCTTCATCCTTTTCCATCTGGCGAATCACCCCCAAGCAATCCGATTCCATTTCCATTTCCTCTATCCCCAACCTTCTTGCAAGCTCCAAACCGAAATCGATTGCCATGGCTTCTGCCTCTTCTGGGTTCCACTGAACCCTTGATCTTCTTACCCCAGCAAATTTAAACTCGCCATTAGCTCCCCGACAAACCACACCCCACCCTGTTCCTCGCCCGTCTAAACACGCTGCATCTACATTTAGATTTAGATAAACAGATTGAGACTATCATTTCACAAAACTGTTTAATATGTTACTTCTAATTTTTATTTTATATTTTCACTTTATCGATAGTAGAATTGAATTAAAATTTTGATCAATTTAGAAGAAATCTTATGATATGATTTAAACAAAAAAAATATGAGTATAAATAAATTTTATCAATCCAAATGTTCAACAAAAATAATTTGTAAAACATAATTCGGTCATTGGGCGAAACAAAGCTAGTTTATATGTATAATATGTCCCTCTACTATGACGTTTTATCAAACATGTCTCTCTACTATTTTTTACATCAAACATGCCCTTGTACTTTGAAAAAATTATCAAACATGCCTTTTTGTTAAAAATTTCATCCAAAACCGTTAAACAAGGCCGAACTTTAGTTTAGGCGACACAAATGACTAAAATATCCCTAATAAATTCACTTTATAATTTTTTTTGGTTCTTTTGTATAGTCAAATCATTCATATAATTTCACTTTGAAAAGACCTAGGGAAATAAAACAAGGGACAAAACTGACATTTTCCCTCCTATTTGCCAATGTCGGGTCGTCTAAATCTCGGTTTAACCATGATTGACGATTTTTTCAATGGAAATTTCAACAGAAGGGCATGTTTGATAAGTTTTTCAAAGTACAGGAGTATATTTGATGTAAAAAATAGTAGGACATGTTTGATAAAACGACATAGTAGAGGGGTATATTATACCTATAACCTTAGTTTTATGGGTTAATATATTTGTCTGGCTTGAACTTTGACCAAAATAAACATCCTGACCAATCTTTTCGAGCAAACCCGACGTTTGACCGTTAACTTGGACAATCAAACGTGTTGACTAACGGTCAACGCTCCACATCACCGCCTAGTCAGCATAATAAATGTTGAAAAATTCAAAACGTCGGGTTTTGTCAACAATAATAATCTTTTCTGTGCTGACTGGGCGATGATGTGGTGCGTTGACCGTTAGTCAACACGTTTGACCGTCCAAGTTAACGGTCAAACGTCGGGTTTTGTCAATTTAGTTATTTGGATGTATAGTTTGGACCAGAATGTTATAAATCGAAAAGATTGACAAAGATGTTTATTTTGATCAAAATTCAGGCCATACAAATATATTAACTCTAGTTTTAAGGGATCTTGCAGAACACTTTCACAATTTGAATGGACGGGCCCCGTCAGCGTTAGGCAAAAACAAGCTTGGGCTGGGCTATCTACGGAGGAGCCCATTTTCCCTAACTATGCAAAAGTACTTGATTCTGCAGATAACTTCTTTGCTTTGGCGGATATGGAATAACATATGTACAGTGCATTTCCAACAATTTCAGTCGTTTCCTCAAGTATTAGCTTTGCAATGGGCTCATCAAGTTCGGGAGGTGGATGAGGCACTTCTTTCCACTAATGATGCTGGTGCTGCTACCATGGCGCCATGTCGCGTTTCTTCTCGTTCTTTCTGGCCTTCAGGGATGGATTCTGTTCACCGGATTTTCTTTGATGGTGCGACTTCCTCGGCGTTGGGATCAATTGGGGTTGTGGTCACGGATCATCATGGGACAATTCTGAAGGCCTTTGCTCGACAGTATCCAAATACCATTGATCCATTAATTATTGAAGCACTGGCTTTGCGGGATGCAATTATGTTCTGTTCTCAACAACTTTGGCGAATGGGGGTGTTCCTTGGAGATGCGAAGACCTTGATTGATCTTTGCAATAATGGGGTTGTTCAAGATGCAAGAATTGGTGCGATTTTGTGTGAAATTAGACAACTTCTTCGATCTCAGGAAAGTTTCCAGGCCCGATTTGTAGGACGTGATCGAAATAGGGCGGCTCACTTGGTAGCTCGTCATGCCCTATTAGTGTCGCCTCACTTGTTCTCGAGGTTCGACTTTACTCGTTGGCTATGTTCTCGATAACTATGTACTCTTTTTTTTTTGAAAGGTAACCTGTAGATATATATTAAGAACTGATACTGGTTACATCATCCAGCTTTAGCTGGTCAACAAGATAAATCGGAGGCCTTTCTAGCCAGACCTCCCTAGAATCCCAATGAGTTTTACTATGGGTCATAATATGTGCCGCATTGTTCGCCCCTCTCCTCACATGCCGGATACAGCCCTCAATCATTGCTTCACCTCCTAGATAGTTGGTTATGCTCCTGCCAATAAGGCCAATCTCAGTATGTACTTCTTCCAATTTAGCTAGCTTCTCCACAAGGGTTAAACAGTCCACTTCCAACATCAAGTTGTTGTAGCCCAGCTGGCACGCCAACTGAACTCCAAACTCGGCTGCAAGAGCCTCAGCCATTTCAACCTGAAAGCGTCCTCTCACATTCTTCGCAGCGGGTGCAAGAAATCGCCCTTCATGATCCCGGATGACCGCCCCCAGGCCAGCTCCTTCGTCTCCAATCATACCAGCGTCAGTGTTCACTTTAATCTGCCCAGCTGGGGGTCGTTTCCAAGCTTCCACGCTGGGAGCTGAATCTGCACCCGCTCCCCTTGACTGGTTCTCCCTGTATTCATCCAGAAGGGCTAAAGCTCTTATGATAATCTCATCTTCCGGCCATTTACTGCTATTAAACAGTTGGGCGTTTCGTTCCTTCCAGATTGCCCACATTATCATCACCCATTGCTCCACGGCAGATTTGTCTAGTTCCTTTATGCTCTTCTTTACCCTGTCCATGCAACTCGACAGCCCATTCATATCAAAAGCATTCTCTAAGCTGGACCCTCGCCAAATTCTGCAGCTCCATCCGCACTCAAAGAAGAGATGGCGTTGAGTTTCCGGTTGATTACAGAAAGGGCACGTGTCACTACGCCTCGGATTATGAGCACTTACCTTCACTCCAGTAGGGAGGGCTTCCCTCGCAAATTTCCAAAGAAAGTGGCGGACCTTCGGTGGAGTGTTAATTCCCCAAATAGCCTGCCAAAAGCTCTTGTCTCCGTCGGTAACAATTCCATTCTTCTGTTTAAACGTAGTCAGCCACCAGCCATAGCTTTCCTTTACAGTGAATTTGCCATCCACTCCATGATTCCAAACTAATTGGTCCTGCACTTCACTTCCCCGCAGCGGAATTGAAAGGACCTCCCGGGCTATGTCCGACGGGAAACAGCTCTCCACAACTCCCTCGTCCCACTGATCCGTGCTCGGATTAATAAGATCACGGACCAAAGCATCTACTGGCAGCCCCCGCGGTACAGCATCAACAAAACCATGCTCAAAGTCTGGAAGCCACATGTCTCCCCAGATACGAACTTGTGCTCCATTCCCTATCCTCCATCTCAGCCCGTTGCACAAAAACTCTTGAGTACTAAGCAAACTTCGCCATACAAAGCTTGGTCTGTGCCCGAGCTGTGCATCAAGGATCGACCCATTCTTATGATACTTTGCCGCAAAGATCCGAGCTATGAGTGAGTTCGGTCGCTCATGTAGAGACCAAAGTTGCTTTGCGAGCATAACCAAATTAAATCCCTTCAAATCTCGGAATCCAATCCCGCCTTCTTCCTTCATCACAACCAGCTCCTCCCTTCGTAGCCAATGGGCACGCCTTTCAACCCCTTTTTGTCCCCACCAGAAGTTCGTAATCAAACTGTGCACTTCATTAATGACTCCATCTGGTATTTTAAAAACCGACATCGCATAAGTGAGTTGTGCCTGGGCTACAGATTTTATTAGCACCTCCCTAGCCGCCACGGACATTGTTCTCTCTTTCCAGCCTTTTAGCTTTTGTCGAACCCGCTCCTTTAGTGTGCCAAATAACTCCTTCTTGGATCTCCCCACCTCAGTTACCAGTCCCAGATATTTGTCGTGTTTGTCTACCATCTTCATACCAAGAGTTGAACTGACAATCAGCCTGTTATGTGTCTTCACATTCGCTCCAAAAGATACCTCAGACTTCTGGAAATTCACTAATTGTCCAGACTCCTTTTCATAGGCTTTAAGAATAGCCTTCAGCTCCAAGCTTTCCTGCTGAGTGGCCCTGGCAAAAAAGATACTATCGTCAGCGAAAAACAAGTGGGAAATCACCGGGGCTCCCCTTTTCACTTCCAGACCATGCAGCCGGCCCTCATTTACTGCCTTGGTCGTGAAAGTGGATAATCCCTCCGCACAAAGCAGGAAGAGATACGGGGATAAGGGGTCACCCTGCCTCAAACCTCTGGTGGGGGTAAAAGTCGGTGATCGATGACCATTTACCAGCACAGAGTAAGAAACTGTCGTCACCCCCATCATAATTAACCGGATCCAGCGATCAGCAAAGCCAAGCCGCCGCATAATTCTTTCAAGGAAATTCCACTCCACCCTATCGTAGGCCTTAGCCATATCGATTTTTGCCGCCAAAAATCCATGCTTATGTTTTTTGCTACCCTTCATCGTGTGAAAACACTCAAAAGCTGCCATTATATTATCAGTTATATACCTGCCTGGCACAAAGGCACTCTGGGATGGTGATATAATCCTGTCCAGGAGTGGCTTCAGACGGTTCGCCAGTACCTTCGAAACCATCTTGTATAACACATTGCATAAGCTTATCGGCCGGAACTCCTTTGGCGTTCGAGGATTCTTAGTCTTCGGAATAAGTGCAATAAGCGTGTGATTAAGCTTTGCCGGCATTGACCCTGTAGTCAATATTTCCATCACTGCCGCGACGACATCATCACCTACAATGTGCCAATATCTCTGGAAGAACAGTACTGAGAGGCCATCTGCCCCTGGGGCCTTCCTCTTCCCCATTTGTTTTAATGCCCCCCATATCTCCTCTCTACTGAACGGCTTCAACAGCAGCTCATTATCCTCCTCACTAACCCGCCGCTCCACTGCTTCTAACACTGGCCAGGCACTCGGGGGTTCCCCCGCCGTAAACAGTGAAATATAGTAATCCATCATGCATGTAGTAACGTCGTCCTGTCCTACGTACCACCGTCCAGAATCATCTTGTATTTTTTTGATAGTGTTCCTTCTCCGCCGAGCAGTCGCTTTTCTATGGAAGAAATTTGTGTTCTTGTCTCCCCCGCCCAACCAATCGACTCGAGAACGTTGCTTCCAATAATGTTCTTCACTGTCCAGTACATCCGCCATCTCCTTTTCCAATTGCTGAATTTGTCGTAACGTATCCTCCGACTTCCTTCTGCGTTCCAGTACTCGAATCGCCCTCTCTATCTTGCGTTTTTGCTGCGCAAAGGCCGGGTATGCCCCTTTATTCCAGGCCTCCAGCTTTGAACAGCACCGATCCATCTTCGACAGGACATCTAAGGCCCCAGCTTCCTTCCACGCTTCCTCAATAACCCGGGGGCAGTCTACATGTTTAGTCCAATGCGGCTCAAATCGGAAAGATCTTCCCCATCTTACTTCAACATCCTCTTCTCCCCTAGTATCACAGCAAATGGGGCGATGATCCGAGCTAGCTCGATCCACATGTATCACACGGCTATTCACAAATAGCTGCTGCCACCTATCATTTGCTAAAAATCTGTCGAGACGTTCTTCTATGTAACCCCCTTGCCTTCTCCGATTCTCCCACGTGAATGGGTAACCAAAGAAACCCAAATCTTGAAGCCCTACTTCATTTAGGCAGTCACCGAAGTTACTCATCGCTGTCTCATGAGCGTGTCTTCCTCCACTCTTCTCAACTGTCGAGAGAACTTGGTTGAAATCACCCCCACAAAGCCAAGGCCCACTCCATTGCTGGCCCAGTGATCGAATCAACTCCCATGTCTGCCACTTATCACTACTCTCTGGCCATCCATAGATGCCAGTGAACCGCCATCTTCCTTCTTTTGGTTCATCGATCGCCACATCAATGTAATGAAGATCATATGCCATCTTCGTCACAGTCACTTCCTCTTGCCACCAAATACTGACTCCACCAGCCCTGCTTCTCCCTGTTCCAATAGCCGGCCAACACTCTCCGCTCTTGAAGCCACAGTACTCTCTAGTGGTCGCATTTTCACCTTCTGTTTGCTTAGTTTCCATGAGGAAAACCACATGGGGGGATGTTTTGCGCAACAGCGCCCTTAAAGCATTAACTGATCGCGTATTCCCCCAACCCGCGACAGTTGTAGCTGAGGATTCTCATCTATTTCCCGAAGGGGATAGGCTCCCCGCGCCTTTGCTATCCACTCCACCTTTCGTTCCCACAGCTTGAGCTTTCTCATTCCTTGGTCGCGGGCCCACTTTTGCCTGTAGGCTGTTATTCAGTGGTTCGGTGCCCGTATCACGAGCTCGGGGGTTGCAGGTGCTCCCATCTCCTTGCTGCTTTTGACCAGCTCGGTTATTCCCCTCGTTCGTTTTCTCCTTCGTTAGACCAACATTGGGTTTACTAGTCTTATTTGGACCGCCTCGTTCTCCCTTCTTGATGGTCTTATGCGGGTTGGCATTAGTAATAGGTCTAGGGTCGTCTAGCTCAGTCCTATCACTACTCCCCTGTGCCTTGATATGTTCTGTAGCTTCAGCAACGAATATTTCCTTAGGCGGAGATGTGACTCCTCCCGACTCAACCTCAAGGGCAGCAAAACTATATGTGTTATTGCCTATGTTCCCAGCTTCACTTTCCATCTGATTCTTCATGCCATCGCCACCCAGCTTCCCCGCCTGTGTGACACCCCTCTTCTCTGGTTTTTTCTTCTTCTTTGCTATCATCCATGCACCATATGTGCTTTCTGGCTCGGTTTGCTCGTGTGCATCTGCCCCATGACTCTTCTCACTTTCATCCATGGGTTCTTTTGTCGAACAATGACAAAGCGCCCGTTCATTATACACTCCACACTGCAAACAGAGCTTCTCGAGCCCCTCATATTGAATGAAGTATTTCTTGCGGTCAATTTTGAACATCGAAAGTAGTGGTTTGGTGAGATCAACTTGCATGCATACTCGAGCATACTCGCCTCTCGCTACTTCCTCTGTTGCTTTGTCCACACGCAACAGTTTCCCGATTCTCCTCCCAATTCTCATAACCGCCTCCTTATGGAAGTAGTATATCGGCAGATCCAGGAGACGTGCCCAGACTAACGTCGTCGATATCTGCGTGCTATACCGATCGAAGTCTTTGTCCCATAGGTGCACAGTTAGGTAGTGATCACCAATCATCCATGGTCCCCCCGTTAGGGCTCGTTCGAAGTCATTACCACTCGTGAATCTTACCAAATAGAAACCATTGCGGGCATTCGTCACTTGGATTCCGCCCGTTTTGGCCCACATCACGTTCAGTCGATTCCACAGCACAGTGTATGAGGTCGATCGTCCCAAAAGCTTTACTACTAGGGCTGATCGCCATGGTCTTTGGTACATCCTCTTCTCAGCTGTCGTAAAGTGGATTGGTGGGCACGTTGGGTCGTCCTCATCGTCGATCTCTTCCTCCAAACCATCTTCCCTTATTGCTTCCGCCACATCTTCTGAGTCAGAATCTGCAACATACCATTCTTCGGTCCTCGGGCGATCCGGGAATAGCTTTCGCGCCGCCCCCCCCCCCCCCCTCTGCTAGTCCATGCTCCAGTCAACGGCGATCCATGCAAAGTCTCTGTCGCCACCTCCTCCGCAGCATCTTCAAAAATCTCATCGGTCTGTGTATCCTTAGACAGTTTCACTCGTTTTTTGGCGTGTTGGGTTTCCTTTTCGCTCCTAGCATTAGGTGAGGAAGACCCCGTCGGTGGTCGTCGCATACCTGCTAACCCATCAATCGGCATCTGGTGGTGGTCCTTCCAGCCGCCGTCGCCATAGCACATATGTTTTGTTCCAGTCGCACGTTCGCCGTGTGTTTTCCCGCTTCCGAAGTTTACGGAGCTAAAAAACCCTAGCAGTAGAGAGGTAGTAGTTGGGATAACTATGTACTCTTTGTTCCTCTTAATTGAGTGACTTAATGGGGAAAAAAAACTATGCAAAAGTAAAATGACAGCCCAACCCATTAGTAGCAGCGACAGGTGTGACCCTAAATGTTTTTTTTATTAATGGAAAAATGTTATTTTCGGACGTCGGAGCCGGATACTGAGTGACTGCCTGGTATGCCAATTTCCAGGGATTTCGATCGCATTCCTAGACCCTAGTTTCCTGTCATCTGCTGATACGGGTCGGGATTTGTCTTCCTTTGCTTCTGTTCCAGATTCCATCCATGGCGGCCAACCCGACTTCGGATCGGCAGCTAAGCTGGCGGTTTTTGCCTTGCAGCTCCACGAAACGGCGGCGTATACATTCAATAGAAGTAAACTCTTCTCCTCCTCCGACGACGATCGTTCAACTGGGAGACGATGTCCTCGTCGAAATCCTGATTCGCCTCCCAAACCCCAGATCCGCCTGTAGCTGCAAAGCCGTCTGCAAGGGATGGAAGTTCCTTATCTCCGATCCAATTCGGTTCAACCGCCGTTTCGTTTCCCACCACCAGAGCAAGAACCGACAACCTATTCTCCTTCTACCCTCAGACGACCCGCAAGCGATTATCACGAGCTTTATCCCCATGACTACTCCATTTACCCAACGCTCCTTCGCAATAATGGATTCTTACAAGGACTTGGTTCTATGCGGGTTTGCGGATGCGGCGCCCGTCACTAACTACAGCGATTTGGTCACAGAATTGTACCGATCGTACTTTCTCTGCAATCCGTTTACCAAGCAATGGGTCGCCCTCCCTTTGGCGCCAGAAATGCCAATTGACTGTGGGCACTACTTTACAAGGTTAGTTTGTGAACCCCTGATTTCTAATGATCTTGATCTAGGAGAGGAGCAAGTGTTTGCTTATTCTTCTGAGTATCGATTTCGAGTGGTGTGTCTATACCGGCATGCTGGGTGCACAAAGATAAATATGTTCTGTTCGGATACTGGGGAATGGACGAAGGACATTCTTGTTCTTCGTGAGCATTGTCAATTTGCAACCAAGAATGTAGTTTCCTGCAACAGGGAGGTGTTTTGGTGTTATTATGGCTTTCCAAACCAAGATCCTGGTGCTGTGCAGCACGCGATGAAGCCTTTAATTGCTGCTTTTAATCCTTTCCGGCCGGATGTACCTCCCACTACTATTGAACCTCCAACACTAGTCTTTGGGAAACCTGGGTGGGATATTTCATTCTCGCAAGGTGCCATGCACGTGATTGTATTTGAAGATCGAATTGAACCGGGTTGTTCACAGATTGCGTCGAGTGTGTGGCGATTGGAAGAAGACCGTAAGTCTTGGGGGAAAGTATGTGATGGGTTATTGAAGGGACCAAGGTTGTGTGAACTTCGCACCTACGTTCGGCCTTGTATGCATCCAGAGAAGCCACAAGTCTTCTTCCTCCGTCATTCTGATGCTACAGGTGAGGTTTTTGCCTTGTCCTGCGATTTGGGGGCAGGGGTAGAGCTGGAGCTCTTCGCTGAAGGAAGAGCATTCTTAACTTACTGGAATTTGTTCCGAGCTGAGCTCTCTTGCTGGCCGACTTTGATTCCGAGGTACAAGCAGCTGCGAGTTTTGTATGATGGAAGCTACAGCTGTTGGGTTCAGATCAGCAAGGAACATGTACCAATTTCTCCAATAGCTGGTACTTACTTCAGAGCAACAAGGCTTGACAATTTCGAGTGATGCTTGGAGCTTATCATTTTTTTTTTAATCTGGGCCCATTACTGATTGATCTGGTTTTTCATTTTAGTACCATTTTGGTGTAGCTACTGAATCAGTTTTTTTCCTCAAGTGGTATTTCGTTAGCAGTGCCATGTTATGGTTGTATCTTCTGTCATCGTTCGTCTTTGTTTAGAGTTTTGTGGTTGTATCTTCTCCCTGGTAGCTGTGTAGATCTTTCGTTGGGTAGATAGGCTTTGTCCTCTATTGAGCTTGATTCTTTTGTACTCTGTTAGTGTTATCCAGAAAGTTACTAATGTGATTTATATCCTACATTTTTGTGCTCATTTGTTAATGACAGATTTTCTCATTTAGTTTTTGTCATACCATTTCACGTATCTTTGCAATGGCATCTACAAAAGGTCATGAGGTACCAGCTGCTACTCGTGTTCTAATTTCTGCAATTAGGAAGGAAATGCGTGAAGTTGTCGATTCCATCGCCCAAATTCTACCTGGTCCTGCTCTCGTCGGGCATGCATTGTGGTTCTATCAGATACTATTGCTACAGAAGTTTAAACTTCTTAAGTCTGGAACTGTGACCAATAATGCTCAATTGGTTTCACTTTTTCCCGAAGGTGTGTTATTTGTTTGGGAGTTTGCTAAACGGAACTGCTGAATAAGCCTGGTCTTTTTATGCTATATTTTTTTGTTTAATTGTTTAATGGTTCTTGTTAATGTAGGCGTTGCTTTTACATCTGAGTGCAACGAAGCATCTCAGTTTCTAATAGATTATCATCATGATGACGTGAACTATAGAGCAATGACTTTATATCGCGTACACTTGATGCAAGCAATAAGAGGATTTAAAACTGAAGTCGGGGCAAGTGATTAGCAGCTGTTGATGAAGACGATGCTGACTTCACTGTTGACTCTGCTGAACTCGAGTCTGATCATATCGGTGCTGATCCTGTCGATAATCGCTATAACTTAGGGTTGGCTCTAGCTGACTTAGAAGGGAACTTAGGAGCTGTTCATAGGTCTCTCAAGAAACGTCTCTCTGGTTCACACTTGAGCATCAGCAAAAAGGAAAAACACAAGATGAAGAGGACTTCTGAAAGGGAAAGCGTCAGGAAGCTCTTGAAGTCCCAGAAGATTGACCCAAGGCTAAAGGATACAACATGCTCCAAGTGGGACCGCTCGCTGGGGAGATTTCTGATTATCAGTCAGACTCAGAATATTCCTTCTAAAGGGATACCTAGTTCAGGGGGAGAGTTTGATTCTTAGTGTTGTTTTGTCTGTTTGCTTCGAACTTCAAGTGTGGTTTTATGTTAGGTTGTCTTCAAGTCCTTTTGTTTCTCATTGGATGTTAGTGAACGTAGTTCCTGTCATAATTGAATAAAACTACTTTGGAGCTAACAAATGATTTCTGAGTAAGCAGCACATGTTTGGCCATTGACAAGCTGAGGGGGAGAATGTTAACTCCAGCTTGACAAAGGCATAATACTCTAACTGTTTTCATGCAGCTTGAAGGCCAAGTCAAGATTCAAACATGGTGAAATCACAACTGGAAATGTATGCTGGCCGTCCAAAGCAGTTAAGGCAAGTTTTCAGGCCAAAGGAAGAAAGAACAAAAGCTTACCTTATATGAAGATCTCAAATCATCAAGGGAGAATTGAAGACCACCCTATTGTCCAATCCGTGTAATCCCATTCCCAGGTATACCCTTCTTCCCCCCCCTCTCTCACTGCCTCCACCGTCGGAAAATTCTGGAGTGGTATCTGATTCAATTCCGCGCGAATTCAGGACAATAGGGCATCTCGGTATTTACTTATTTTTACTCCCTCCGAGTTCCCTTTTGGATGAGATCGGTGCAGAAAATGCATGGAATGGTGTCTGGGGAAAATGAATGTGAATTTCCATTCCATTCATGGTTTATATGGTGGTGCAGGGTTGGTTGACAATTCGATTCTTGGAATGGTGGGTAACAGAAAGATCAGTGTTGTGTTGTGGAATTCGACATCGTTTCTCTGAGTCGTTCATGGGAGTTCAGGGGACCAAGTTTTTGTATAAGAAGGCATAGAAGAGACTGGTGTTGTAATCTGATATCACCTACCAGGACCTTGATGCTGCCTCTCGTGTTCATGTTTTCTTAGCACGTTTCTTACATTTGTGTGTTATTGATGATGCAGGAGAGAAGGATCTTAGGACTGAAGAAGTAGGAAAATTGTAGGCTTTTGACGAAGAAAAGGGTAGACTTACTAAGCTGATTGAGGATCAAGGTAGATAACATTTTCTCGTGATTTGAGCCAATCTGTAGATCATATTCAACACAACTGCAGTGTGCAGTTCTTATCTTCATGTAATCATCTATCTATACTTGTCCAGTTCATTTAGGCTGTGGCATGACGAATGTAGCTCCTGTTAGTTAGTTAGTTAGTTAGTTACGGAAACGAACTAGCTCCTTAGTTCGATTTCCTATCACTCTGAGACGCCATACTCGAGCTGGGATGGTGCATTCGCTGCTGGTTAGGGAAATTAGTGAGACCAAATTGAGCAAAATTCTATCATGAGACCTGCTATCCCTATACTCATTTGCTGATGTCCTGACAGATACTTTGATCTGATAACAGTTATGTTATGTAGGTGATCAAAAGAGGATAGTTAGTGTTAACCAGCAGCTTAACTCAAAGCTTCATGCTTCCAGGCTCCAGTGAAAGTTGTATTTAATGGATTGCTCTGTGGTTAACTATCTGTGACGCTGCGAGCTGTAGGTTAACTATCTGTGACGCTGCGAGCTGCATATCCTGATTTCAATTACTTCGACTCTGCAAAATGGTCAAATTGCATTATGAATTGTCTTATTGTCTTGGTCTCTCACCCTCTGTCATGTGAATCTGTTGCTTTTTTGTTTTGCTTTGTCTGCAGATGCCATGCTGAAAGATTAGTACAGATGGAGTGTCTGAAGTCTAAGCTGGGTTGAATTGAAGCTAAAGGAAGATGGGATTTACGTTGTTACTTGTATTCGATTTTGTTTTGTTTTGGTGAGATGAGGTTGTTGAAGTAATGTGACGCCATCATACTTGCCTTTTTAAGCTCGTAGTATTTTGCCTTTTGAGCCAAGTACATCACAACAAGCAAACTATCCAATCGAAGAGTAAGTGGTAGGAAAAGGAACATACGAGGTCCCCAATACCAGTATTTGGCAAACTTGTATAAGCGTGAAGGTAAGTGTCATATCAAGAGTAAGTGATCGGCAAATTGGAAAAGGACCATATACACAACATGTATCTCTCGGTTGGACCAACGACCATCTGTGCAACTCGTTACATAGGATTGTTGATGCAAAATCCTTGTTGATTGCTTAATGTGCAAAACTCTATTAAACCTAGTATTAACATCATATTTTTTAACAGAGTAAATTGACAAGTTTTCTGTTGGGATAAGGATTAATCTACCTAATACAACAAGTGAACAAACTATTAGTCATAAATGGACCAAAGCCTACCACAAGGCGTCGTGAGCCCAAGCCCACTATAAAAGCCCAAGTATCCTATAAAGAGGTCAAAGCCCTCCAAGATGACTCGGCTCCTTTTAGGGATGACAATGGGTCAGGTTGGGGCGGGTTTTGCCAAACCCAAACTCACTAGTTTATCCGTAAAAAAAACCCGGGGTAAAACCTGCTGGATTTGAAAAACTCAAACCCAACCAAACCCGCTGGGTATCCGCGGGTTCATGGGTACCCGTGGATTTTTGTGGTAAAAAAATTTACAATAACAAGTTTATTTTAAAATAAAAGTCTAACATTAATTTTCTCATAAAAATTATCCATAAAAAACACTAATATAGAGCATATAGGGATGGCAATGGGTCGGGTCGGGGACGGATAGTGCATATCCGTTACCCTACCCAAAGTAGTTCGGGTTTTACCCATGCCATACCCACATGTGAAACGGGTAGAAAATCAAAACCATGCCCATACCCGTTCGGGTTTCGGATATCCACGGTTATCTATGGGTAATAATTTCTCTTCATAACTCCAACCAATATGTTAACATTCATACGTATTCTCACATTACGTAAGAGGAAAAGTACGACAATACTTCATCGGAATGAAGAAAATTAATTAAAACAATAAAATTTCATGAAAATATTATATTTATATGATAAATATAAAATATGTTAGAGATAAATAATGATTATTTCTAGATAAAATACATGTGCATGTGTATAATCGGGCGGGTTCGGGTTGGATAGTGTTAAACCCATGCCCACCCATTACCCGCAATATTCGGGTTCGGGTTTTACCCATATCCACTACATGTCCTTCGGGTTCGGGTTTTACCCTACCCGATTAGGCCGGATTCGGGCGGATATCCACGGTTACGGATATTTTTGCCATCCCTAAGAGCATACAAGCAAGTCGCAAATTATCAATACAAATTGTTCAAAATTAAAGATAAACATCTATAAACAACATGATTAAATGAAAGCTCCTTCCTCGTCAACTAAACTTCTTCACTCTACACTTCATAATATCAACTTCATTGTACACAATTAGAAAGAACAAATTAGACATGTTTCCACAAACATAAAAAAGATTAGTCATTTAAGGAAGATATATTGCTTAGAATATTAAATAACCCAGAAAAATTAATTATATGGGCGTGGGCGGGAACCCATGGGACGGGTTTACCTAAACCCAACCCAACCCGGTGAATAATGTACCGAGTTTAAACCCGAACCCGGCCTAAAACCCGTCAACACGGGTTTTACCCGCATCGACCGGGTTGGGTCGAGTGGGTACCCGTGGGTTCGGGTTTTGTTGCCATCCCTAGCTCCTTTCGCCTACATTTCAGTTTTCACCCATGGTCAACTCTCTACATTCTATCACTCTCTACATTCACATACCAACTCCGTATATCGTACTAACTTGGGCGTTAGAGCCTAGATAACGGGGATGCCTCCTCCTCTCAGATTTCTCGCATCTCGAAGAGATCGAACGAGGGAGTCCATATCAGAGCCCT